GCCGCTCCACACAACATTGCCTCCCAGAAGGACTCGCCTGGAGGCTTGCTCCCCCCTTGGCATGGGTGAGGGGCTTCTGGGTGATTTTTGGGCTGTGTCAACCAAGCCTACAGGGTGTTTCGGTGGCGTGCTGCTGTGGGCCGAGTGGTGGATGGATGCTCGGCGTGATGGAGAATCGCCTCCTCTGCTGTGCCAGGTTTCACTAAACTTGCTGCGGGCCATGTCTCCCAAGTCCCATGTCCCAGCCCAAGAGCCAGGCTCAAGGCGTTGTCTTTAAACTAAAGCTGGGTTGAGTGAGAGTGTCCTGGCCTGAGACCGCAGGTATGTCTGCGTGAGCCGTGCCTCAGTTTCCCTGTTTCCGAGACAACAAGTTGTTGTCTTCCTTTGATGTCAGCTGTAGAAACTGCCTTGCCTTGCTTTAGAAGAGCTTTTCCCCAGGCCGGCGGCTGTTGCTGCTCCTGTCTCCACTGACCACGGAGCCTCTGCTGAGCTCCACTCCTGCCATGCTGTGCCCCCTTGTGTGCTGAAGGGCACATTGGCTCCTCCCCATGGGTGCAGGGGCACTGAGCGGCTCCTGGGCCTGGCTCTCTCTTCGTGGCCTCCACATCCGCTGTCACCTTGCGGGTACGGCCCTGCAGGGACGCCTCTGGGCTGGTGCAGCTGGGCTGGGTGGCCTTGCACGCTCTCCTGTCCCTCTGCCCCTCTCTGTGTAGCCTGGCTCAGGGCACCTTTCTCCAGCGATAATCCAGCAGCTCTGCCTGTGCTCACAACCTTTTGTTTCGGAGCATGTTTGCAGATGGCTCTGGGCTCCCTTTCCTCTCACTGCCACCCCAACCAGTTGAGCGGGTTTGGAGTTGGCTGGCTTTCTGTTTCTACCTCCAGTCCCCATCGATAAAGTGCTGTTTGCAGAGAGATCATGCTGATGGGAATTCCTCACCTGGCTGCAGGGGACATGGGTAGCTGCGTGGCTGTGGTCCTTGTGGCATCTCCCTCGAGGCTCTTTGGGGGCAGGAGGTCTGGGGGAGAGCTGCAGCTTTGGCTGCCCTGGGTTTGCACTGGGATGGCAGGTGTGCTTGGGGTGGGTGGTTTTCCTGTGCTGTGCCATGCTTGGCTGCTTGGAGCAGAGTGGAGCAAGTAAAGAGGATGCATTACGCTGTGAGGCTTTGCCCGTGCCCCAGCAGGCTTCTTCCCCAGATGCCAGAGCGTTGACATTTGTGTTTTTGCCTGCCACACTGGTGCTCCCACTGCCCAATCTGGCCCTGAGGATCGCAGCGGGACAGTGGTGGGAGAGTGCTCAGGGAGGCAGCGGTCCCTGATTTCCATGTGTGCGTTCAGATGGGCCAAGGCTCGGGAAACAAGGCTGAGAGGGAGGCTGAATTCCCTGACACAACCCCAACATGCATCCAGCTGTGTCTCTTCATCTTTGCCCTGTTTGCTGTCATGGCAGGGTGAAGGGGTTAAGTCCCTGTTTGCAATTTGGTCTAATGAATGTCACGTGCCCGAGCACTCACTTGTGTCTGCAATCCCTTGGCAGCCTCACCAAGAGCAACATCCAGGTGCAGATCCCTTTCACGCCCTGAGGGGCTGTTCCTTGCTCTCCATTAGTAACCTGCATGAAATATTTATCCACGTGAGCATGTGAATCTGAATAATTCTGCTTTCACGGGCGTGATTTGTTTGGAAACCCGTAAGCAGGGTCTAATCTGATCGAGGCCGTAATAAATGCATCGTGGTGTTGCTCACACAGTGTTTGTGGTCTCAGGGTGTAGCTTTTTTTAAACCATTTGACTATTTTATTTGGAAGATCTGGCAAGCGGGACAGATCTCAAGCAGTTTCTAGGTGTTGCCTAGACAGGCAGTGTCCGAGGGCTTCGTCCTCATCCTGACAGCTAAAGGCTTATTATCATCATCGGTTTCAGGGAGCTGGGTGAGGAGGGAGGATGGGAACAAGTGACTTATAGCCATCATCTCTGCTGTAAAGTCTGTTCAGCTCTCCTTTGCCAGGGGTTTTATTTGACCTAAGGGGGGGAAAAAAAATCTGACCTCTGTTTGCTCCTTTTCCTCTGCTTTCATAAATTATACACAGGTAACTGAGACAGGCTTGCAGCAGAAGCCTCTGGTGTTCAGCCTGCCCGAGAAGTGGCAATGCAAATGCAGGAGGATATTTTGCCCAACTAAAAGCCGTTGACTTGCAAAGGAGCGGCCGCTCTGGCCCCTGCGTCCATGGCATTAGGAAGCGGTTCATGCTCAGTGTGGGCTCTCCTCTGGTTTATCTCCTGCTCGGGGGAAGAACATTAAGGATGATTAATTGGTATGGGATGTGTTGGCACACAGGGGAATATTACAAGTGAGACGAAAGGGTAGAGAACAGGATTTACTAGTATCTGGGTTGATGTTTAACCTGAGGACTCTCCTTGTGGGTGGGTTGGGAGGCTTTTAGATGCAAAGGAATTTGGAAACTAACTTGTGCCTGGTTCTTATCAGTGAACCTGCTGCTTTGGGATCTGCTAAGAGCTGCTGGCGCCTGCAGACGCGGGGCATGCGGCTGCGGGGCTGGGAGAGAGGTGACTCCCTGAGAGCTACGTGCTGATTCAGGGCAGGGGGATGCCAACCTGGAGCTGTGACCTGTCGGGCTGATCTTTATCCTGCATGAATTAGTGGGTACAACTGGAGAAAATTGCCCTGCAGGTATCCCCTGAGGACTGTGCAAAGGTAGTGCAGAGATGCTTGGTGTGGGTGAATCCCTTCTTCCTAAATCTGGGGTGTTTTATTGCGCTGCAGGGTAGCTGCAGGGGCACTGGCTTTGCCTGGCTCCGCTGGGTGTTGTGTGGAGAGACTCTTTCCTGGTCGCACCTGTGGAGCAGCCGTGTGACGCAAATGCAGGTGTGTTGGTTTCAGGTTTCTCCAAGCGGGTGTCATGTCATCCGTCGGCATGCTTGGCGGAGGATTTATTGGGGCTTTCAGGCTGCACCAGGAAGGAGTGACGGTGGCACAGCAGGAGGAGCTGGTCTCCTCTGGTGTTGTGGCAGGGCCGTCTGGCGGTGGGCAGGGTGCAGGCCTTGTGCCGTGCCTGTTGAAATTGGCCGCAGACTTTGGCCTTGAGCAGAACCAGTCCCTGTGTCACACAAGCAGTTGTATATAAACAGGATTAAGGAAGCAGTGTTGCAGATAGAGCAAAGCTTTTGGGAAACCTACAGTGGAAATAGCCTAAAACGTGGTGGGAGCCAAGAAAATAGGTGAGACAAGGGGAACACTGTTTTTGTCTGATTTCTGCTGCCCCCTTTCCAGTGATGTTGGTCTGGATGTGGAGTGCTTTGGGGTAATGCAGCTCCCAAGGCTTTGCTTAAAGCAATTCGTTATGCTCGAGGGGGAGGGGGTGCAAAGGCTACAAAATTTAACCTGCTTATGGCAGCCTGCTTGCTTCAAACAGAGATAACTCTGAGACAAGCTCTGTGCTGCCGGGAAGCAGCATTGCTTCCTGCCGAGGTCCCGGCAGGCAACTTCCCCTGCCTTCCTGGAGCAGCCCTCAATTCCCACTGTGACTGTGGTCCCTTTGGGTGAAGGTGCTGTGGATTTGGGTGAAGGAGGTGCATTTCCTACTGAACAGCCCTTACTTGAGTTACCTGGCTGACCTCGATGGGAAGGGGATGGACAAGTGGTGCTAGGGACCACCTTTCCCATAGGGCTGTTTTAGCAGAGCAAGGGGACCGAGAGCCACCTTGAACCCAAAGCAATGCTTGCTTGGCAGGAGAGAGTTTTCCCAGTGCCGCCTGCACACTGCAAAACAACTTTTCTGGGTTAATGTGTCCACAAAGGGCCTATTGTGCTTGCTATCAGCCCGAATGGAGCTGGCTGCCCGCCATCCCCAAAGCAGCCAGCAAACAGCGTGATGCTGGAGGTGCGTGACCGTCACCGAGGGACCTTTCCTGCCTCGCCCGCCTGCGCCAAAGCCCTTGCTGTGGGAGCGCTCGGCCGCATCCGCTTGCGGACGGTCCAGCCTGGCAGCGGGGCCCCCACCCCAGCTGTCGTTGGCTTGATGCAATGCCCCCCATGGGGAGGGGAGAGGCTGATCCAGGGCAGAGTTAAGGTGTGTTTGTGTAGCAAAGTCCCTGCGTGCTTGGCGAAGGAGTAAAGCACATGCCTAGGGACAACAAGCAGACTATTTTTAGCTCTGAGTCTTTGTCCCTCTTGCCTCCAAGCTCCTTCTCTGTGGTTTCCAATGAAATCTCTGCACATAGCCCCAGGCTTGGCATTGCTGTCCTGCAGGAATGGAATC